CTAATTTACAAGGCTACAGCAACTATAATTATTACTGCTGGTGTCCCCCAAAGGGAATATTAACAATAGTTGTAGTGGAATGGAGGCACAAAAACCCGAATGTACCGGCAACAAAAGACAACATCAATAAGTTAACGGACATGTTGTAAAATGTATCTTACAGGCTGTTTATGGAGATATGTCAGAAACAGTCCGTCCTTGACACCATCATAGAGTTATGGTTTACATGGCGGACGGCTCGTGGAAAACCCTCCACTGAGACCCTCGGGTGAGAACCTATGACTGCATTAATACTGTACTTAATTGTGGCATGTACAGGGATATAACCCCCGTGTAAGAATGGGGACACCTCTCTTTCTTTCCCATACAGTTTGCTTGAATGTCATTTAACCCCTGGAATAAGGACCCCTCACACTTACTTCTTTCTCCATGGTGTGTGGTTAAGTTGTAATTGACGAGGTATTAGTACCAGGTAATGAGATTAGAGGGAGTTATTTCTAGCTAGAACCACTTGCACGTAACAATGATTTAGTCGGAAATGAGACGCATGCATGCAGATGCTGGTCGTATTCAGAACATAGCCCCTTTTGGCATTCTCCCACTGTGTGTGCATGGGCGAAATGTTTGATGTGGTGTAGGTTGTCTCAGACATAATCTTGGTGGGTGTAGCGTTGGTAGCACAGTTCTCACCACCTTCTGAGTGGGGTTAATGATTTCCATGCCAACAGTGGTGGTGTTGTCATGGTGTTGTCTGGTAGCGCGTGTGAAATGCACTCATGTCCGCTGTGTAATGCACAATCCGCTCTGTGCCTGTGTGAGGTCAGTGCCTCTGTCTTCCCTACTATCTCTGTCTCTTTGTCTCATCTGCTGTAATACCTTTGCCTGCATACTGTTGCTGTGATATCTCTGTTTCTTCGTCTCATCTGCTGTGATACCTTGCCTGCATATGTTGCTGTAATATACTCTGTTTATTCGTCTCATCTGCTGTTGATACCTCTGACTGCTTACTGTTGTCTGTAATATCTCTGTTTCTTCGTCTCCATCTGCTGTGATTAACCTCTGACTGCTTACTGTGCTGTGTATCTCTCGTTCTTCGTCTCATCTGCTGTGATACCCTGACTGCTTACTGTTGCTGTGATACTATCTCTGTTTATTCGTTCTCTGTCGCTGTGATACCTCGACTGCCTTATGCTGCTGTGTGTTGAATACATCATACGTCTCTTGCATGCAATACTGTACACGTCTACGTTTACCTTTTTACGTAGTATGCAAATTAACTGAAGTAAGGTAGGTCTTTGTGCTGTCTGTACTGTTGTGTTATCTGCAGAGAACCTGTCTGAATGTGGAACACCAACTACCTGAAAAAGAGAGGAAGTTCCCCATTTCCTGGATTCTTCAACTGTTAGTTCGGTTCTTTCTTCTTTACAAACAGTGTTTAACTAAGCAAAAACATAAATAACCGTAAGTTTACTCCAAAAAGTTGTGTAGAGCATTGAGTCTGAGACCATAACCTAAGACAGGCTCTTTGCGCGCTTTCTTCCCCCAGTGTTTCCTCCTTCCGGTTTGCAGTTATTGTTGCAGCAAAATTGAAATATCATACGTCATTCCTCCCCTCACCTTCCCCCTCCCATTTCTCCCCCAAACGGGAGAAAAAAGAAGGAAAAAGGAAAATCCCTAGAAGAAGGGAGGAAAAAAGAACAATCCCTACCTCTCTCTACCCTCCCTCCTCTCCCCTCCCCTCTCTCCTCCCTATCTTGCTCTTCATTTCTATCTCCACCCTCTCTCTCCAGGATGACCAAAAGGAAGAAGCGAATCGTTGTGATTGATTTGACGCAAGTAATAGACGAAGAACAACAATGGTTGAAACCACGCAGGCGCTACATGAGGAAGAAGATAAGATGAAGAGGAGGAGGAGAGACAAGAGAGGAGGAAACACAATCAATCCAAAGTGATGTCCAAGAGTGATAGTTTATCATAGAGTTTTGGGAATATTATATTTTATCAGTACAAATTTTATAGAGCTGACTATAATAGTACTATTTATACAATAGACAATACTTCTGTTGAGTCTCAGCATATACTACTTGTGGGAAAAATATGGATTTGTAAGCTATTAAGTACTGTCATTTTACCACTAACTATCAAGTTATTAGTGTTTGTGTGTAGGTAGTAAATACAGTATGAATGCTTCGGACGGCTTAATCTCATCTGTGCCGTAGTTTCAGTTTTGCTGCCCTGCCTGGTGTGCAACGGTCGTGATACCACAGTTTCGGGTGTGGATATACCCACAGTTTTAGTCATGCCTGTTACCAGCTGGTCCTCAGGTGGCACCCGTAGCTGGAAGGAGGGTTTGTGTATGTCCTCGAACAATTAACCTGGGCCCAACATGCTGCCAGTAGACCTTTCTTATTTGGCCTTTTAAGATATTGTTACAAATAACGTACATATAGCGCAGGATTTCGGTGCGGTTTGTGTTACGTTACATTTGGACACGTTGTAGATTTCTGAGATATTTTTGTTGCTGAACGCTTGAATGGTCTGTGTTTCGTTCAATTTTACGGGTGCCTTGTCTTGTGTTGGGTTGGTAGGTAATATATACACACTTTGTGTTGTCTTATAAAACGGAGAACCTCCTTTTTATGGCACACTAAAAATATGTCAGCAAAAATAAGGAACACCTGTTTTGGTATACCTATTAGCTTAATTGCAATCTGATTATGGTTCTTATTGCATACCAAATGCCAAGTAGTAAAAAATCAAGTGATCTGAATTGGTGCGTAAATGCTGAGTCTCATGAAATCCTGTACTCAAAAGATCTTTCATGGGCGTAACAACTTCGGTGGAGGACTATATTAATGTGTATCTGTCAGTGTTGTCATTGTCCCTATTGCAGGAGACGGGGATCTGAGGGACGCGACCTGATTTTAATGGTCCCTTGTCCTCAAAAGTTTACCGACTCTGGCCACGGTTTGGTCTCGGCCTCCTCAACCCCGTGTCGCACCTTTCTCACTCCAAACCGTCCGCCTCTCCCCGCCTCCTCTCGTGGACCGCTCATCACAGCGACCACGCCCCTTGTTCCTGACCTTCACACCCGCCCTCACCGTACCTCATCCTCACAATCCTTCACTGTGTCATCGTTCCCTTCCACACCCTCAATTTTTTAAGGGCCCGTCCAGAAAGAAGATCACTCACTCGTTCCAACTTCATCCGTCGTCTCATCTCTCGGACCTCATCAGCTATTCCTGTGGCTTCTCCTGCAGATTGCACAAGCCACACCCAACCGCAGATTCTTTTTCATCTATTCGCGCCGAAGTTCAGTTATTATTATGGAGAGGGCGAACTCACACCCAGTAGGTAATAACACCGAGGAATATCGTTCGGTCACATCCCATTCAAAGTTCTCAGGTCCGATTTCAAGTCTATGTTACGTCTCCATAACAATCTCTGTAAACACTCTGTCACTCGTTCACATCTCCCTCCTCTCAACTCATTTCACCACTCACCGTAATGTACAAGCGCACCAAAATGTGCACGCACTCTAAGTAGTACTAGCTCCAACGCCCCTCGTCAATCTCTCTTAAAGAAGAACGTTATAGTTTCACAGCAGTGTGCCATTGGTAGCCCGATACACTAGTATTACCAGTGGAGCACCTACTGATTCTAATTGAAGTACCAGGGGTAGCTGGCAGTACAAAACAGCATGTCAGTGGTGGGGGCGAGACATAGGGTTCTTGTCCCTAGGGTCTGGGGGGCCACCAGTGGCGCCATTCTCCCGTTGCACTCACAACGGATGATCCCCAGCCTTCCTGGGGGTTGTATACAGCCTCGCCTCTAACATTGTGTAGTCATAGCGCGGTCAGAGCGTTGTGGTCCAGTGAAGCGTAGCGGGGAAGATATTTGACGATAATTAGAAGAAATTTTTACGGGCACTCGAGTTTGTAGATTGTAGTTTATAGTGAACGCATCACGGCATCAGTCATCATGATGCTGTTTGTCTTCGTCTGCCGCCGTGGATTCTTTTTTCTATTCAAGATCATTTTGGGGAGTCTGATATACCATTATTTTACATGCTTTTGGAATAGTCGGGCATTGTGTGCCTGTGGTGTTAATGTGTTAGCCGTAGTATGTAGTCTCTGTATAGTTGTTTGTTTTTTTTATTTTAAAAAAAGCATGTCTCCCTCTGAGGCTTTAGTCAGGAGGGGTGAAAACCGGTGGTTTGTTAGAAATAAGGACTTAGGATCATCAGGTGCCGAGGGAGGTAGAATCGAGTAGAAGGCTTCAAGCGTAATGCATTGAGAGGAACAAGGAGAGTCTAGCAGGAACAGAAGAAGTCGGCATTTGTGATGTTCTGTTTATTGCCCATTACGTCACCTATGGCTTTCTATCTCCCCCCGTTCTCTCAACAAAGCACAAGAAGATTTAGTAAGGGAAATCAAACAGTGTACTCAAATGCAAGGAGCTGGTGATTATTGACTGATTGATGCACAGTGTGTGTGAGTCCTGCCTGAGCCAAGCTCTGGGGTGTTTCAGGATTTTTGACCATGATTTGGGGAATTTTATTCTCCCAATATTGTAGTTTCAATTGATGACAACATTAGGAACATGCTTCGTGCTGTCTTTTAACCTATGGTAGTTAAGAGCCACATTACTGTATAATATGTTAAAGCGGGAAACTTGATTTCCTGGCAAAATATGAAGTGCAAAATATGGAGATTGCCCTGTAAAAATTTAGCTAATGTGGAGAACATTAATTTGGTGGAAGTTTTTTGAAGCTATGCAATTAGTCAAAAATGACTATCATTAACTTTGTTTCTCTATCTTGCAGGCCTCAGTTCACCATGGTTATACAAACTCAGAATCACACAGGAGTACAGAGGACTAGATTTTGTGTTATTCGTTTCGTCTTATTCGCTTAAAACTTAAACTTATTCGCTTTAAAACGCATCATTCATAACCTGCTCTCTCTCATTATTTAACTCATCATGTTGCATGCAATAATGTTCTATTTTACTGAAACACGTCATCGACGCGACCGAATTCGAAGCACATATGTTTGGCGGAGCCATCGCTGCTGCGCTGAATTGACTTCCGCAATCGAACGCGCCTCCTCTAAGCAGCAGGATCAGTATCGCCCGGCGGCCCCGCGTTGTGTTTCGTGCATCTTGTGTTGCGACGATGGCGTTTGAAGTGGCGCGCCGCCAGCTGCTGAGCAGCAGTCCGGAATAACGGCCGGTGTCTCTGCAGACGACAGCCCGAACTCCACCAACGAAATTGACCGTTTGCTCAATGAGATACTGAACGACCCAAATGTCTTTTCCCTCATCGATGCATCTCCGACCTCTTCCTCTTCTTCGGCGCCTTCTCCGCCGTGCTACTCTCCCAGCCCGCTGCAGCTGGAGCAAGAAGCGCTCGCCGCCCTCGGACGAGTCCATCGCGACCCGGAAAGGTTGGTGCTAGTCGCGTTTGTCGCTGCCCTTTTGGCTCGCCAGAAGGCGTAACTGACAGCTCACGGTGCACAGCGAGGCGTGGACATGGGGTGTTTGGGGTTTGTGCGTGCATCACCTGTGGCTTAGGTGGCAGGTTTGTGACTGCAAGTGCAAAACAGGGGGACTGGAGGAGCCTGGAAGGACGCCTTTGCCTATACAACGATTGTTCGTCGCAGTATGTGGACCACACTCTTGTGTCTGGCTGAGAATCAAGCCTTGTGGGTTGGCCTGGTTGCCCTAGGCCCATTCCTTACATGCACACTGCTTGATGTAGCTATATGGTAGCGTAGCAGTACACAGCTAGCCTCTTCGGATGCTTTCTGGCCTTTCTGCTTATCCAGATATGGAGCATAACGTGGTAATAGGTTCCTTCGTAGGAAAATTCCTATAATAGGAGAAGGGAATGTTTACGGCACTATAATATAGTAGTGAGCCCCCTTCTGGCAAATGGATTTTTGAGTGATGTTACTCTAGAGACTTTCAATGTGTAGAGACCTGAAACGAGAGCTCTTCAGTGAGAGGTGTTCCTGCCTGCGGCACAGGTGTGCATAGCATGCCTTAGCTTTTTACATTTTACTGATGTCTTAGCTGTGCTAATAGAGCTTGACAGGGACAGACATCTGGCCTTCCTGGAAGAATCAGAGCTGATTTGTACACCCATGACCAGCGGGGGAACACCTCTCTAGGACAACCCTGAATGAGGACACCTCTCTAAATAGCCACATTTCCTTTCCCCAACAACATTTCCCCTTAAATTAATAAGGAAACTTCACCGGTGCTGGATTAGAGGGGTTCCGCTGTGTATATGTTACACTACCCACAAAACTATTTCTAGTAGGGCCAAAAATAATTTGGGAGGTTGCGTATCCACCGTGTCGTGGTGTGACTATTCTGTGTCTGTGTCTATAGATGTGATGTCACTCCTGAGACTCCCAGCCCAAGAACTCCGTCCTCGTCCACCGATGACCACCACGCCTTCTTCCCTCATTCCCCGCTCTCGCTACCCTCACCGTCCCACCCTCACCCCACCACCCTCCCCATCTCACACTCCTCCCCCTCCTCCTTGTCTCCCCATCTCCATCAAGTACCGTCCGTCCAGCCACAAACTTCGCCAGTTCTGAGAAACGTTGAAGTGTCCATAAGTTCAAACTTTAGCGACCCTCTCCTGCGAGGCAACGTAGGAAGACTTCTCTCTCTGTTGGACCACGGTCTTGCTATAGTCTTTCTGTACAACCTGAACCAAGAAGTCCAGGTGAGGGAACAAGAAACAAGCAGTGAGGACTTTTGCAAAGCGTTGAAGAGATGAAAATGTTGTCGATTACTGTTGTATGTATATGTACTGACGTTGTAGTTGGGTCCCCTGCTGACGAAATTCCAGGGAGAATACTTTAGCAGTTGAGTCCCAAACCTTCAAATTCGTGGGAGTTTTGCCCCTCAAACACTTCCCACAGTATGCAGTGTGTACGTTGAATCCCATCCCATGTGCACTTCCGTCGTTGTGTAAGATTATGTAAGCAGTGCAGTTTGTAACTTGGACTCAAGTGGCACGGACCTGTCATACCCACACGCTCCTGAAATTGCACGAGCCTTTGCAGCATGTATAAAAAGCATTGTGCCACTATGTTGCACTATATTATACATAATGTGTAGTTTACTACCTCCGCCAAAATGTTTGGACATAAACCTTAAGCATGCATTATGCCCACTCTTCAGATGCCCTTTCACAAATAACCTGAAAATTGCATTTGGAGACTCCCCCACACCTTCCTTCACTGTCTTAGGCCGAGGCTGAAAAGAATTTCAGCGACAATGTGTCCTAGCCATGTTCCACTGTTAGTGTGTATACTCTTGTTAATTCAGGTGCCCATGAGTTGCGTGGAGTTTGTCAGCCCAAACCCTGGGGATTTGGTTAGGATCATCCAGGGCCCTTTCACTGGGTTTGCGGGCTGGTTGGTAAACTCTTACGGAAATCACCATCATCTCCAACTGATGAACGGAACTTACGCCTACGTGGCCGCAAACAGCATTGCAAAACTGGCCATTGAAATAGGGACGCCAGTGGCAACACCCACCAGTCCTCACCCTCTCCCTTCCCCCGCCTCTCCCTCCACTCCAACTGCCACCTCTCCCTTTCTCTCTCCCGCGTCACTACCAAACGGACAGTTCCCTGCCTTCCCATGTCCCACTTCCTATCCCCCCAGCCCCCCTGCCTATATCAACGGGTTCACAACCGTAATGAGCCCACACCGAGCTACTCCCGCATACATCCACGCGCCCTACCCCAGAAATCTTCGCCGGCCGCTCACCGCCTGTCCCAACGGAGCAATAAGAACACCTCTGTCGAATCCGACAATGTCCGATCATTTCCACAGACGGAGGATGGCTATCCAGCAGCAAGATGCCACCGCGGCCCAGCAGCAGCGCCGTCCAACGCTAGCCCTGCGAGGGAATGCTCTCAACGCCAGTCGAAGTGGTGGAAAGACTGTGCGGGGGGACCACGACTACAGGAGCCTCGTGAAGTACCTGGAGAGACCCACTCAGGATATTCTGGAGGAAGTGCGAGGGCGGAAGATGATGGAGTATGACTTTGGCTCCACAGGTTTGCGCACGCTACACACATACAGTATGCTATCCTGTGTCATTAGTACAGAGCGCGTAGCAATACATGTTATAATGTGTATATAGCACAGTGGGGCAGAATGGTATGCATTTTGCCCCATTAACTCCGGTGTATTTATATAATGGTGTGTTTTATGTGGGTGCATGCTTTTCAAGTCCATTTTGACCCTCAAAACAGAAAAAATGGGGGGAGGGGGGCCAAAAGACGAGAGGTAAACACTCAGAGGGGGGAGGGGGGGCCAAAAGACGAGAGGTAAACACTCAGAGGGGGGAGGGGGGCCAAAAGAAGAGAGGTAAAACACTCAGGGGGGAGGGGGGCCAAAAGAAGAGAGATAAACACTCAGGGGGGAGGGGGGCCAAAAGACGAGAGGTAAACACTCAGAGGGGGGAGGGGGCCAAAAGAAGAGAGGTAAACACTCAGAGGGGGGAGGGGGGCCAAAAGACGAGAGGTAAACACTCAGAAGGGGGAGGGGGCCAAAAGACGAGAGGTAAACACTCAGAGGGGGGAGGGGGCCAAAAGAAGAGAGGTAAACACTCAGGGGGGAGGGGGGCCAAAAGAAGAGAGGTAAACACTCAGAGGGGGGAGGGGGGGGCCAAAAGAAGAGAGGTAAACACTCAGAGGGGGAGGGGGGCCAAAAGAAGAGAGGTAAACACTCAGAGGGGCTTGAAGAACCATGGTATATATCCTCTTGTGGTTCCTTGACCCAATTCTAAAGGCTCTTTGTTACAACAACATCATGCCCAATGCCTATGAAATGCAAGCCACTACTGAGAATCCCCAGGGGAATTGAACCCAAGAATGGGCAATCCCTGGAGAGCTCCTTGTGTCTATCTTATGAGAACCTGCAGCTAAACATATCGTTATAGTACTGAACTGGACTTTGGCCCTGTACAATAACAGTCCCCTTACCCAAAGTTAGCGATCTTTCATTACGATGTGTAGTTCAGGTCCTCCCCTTCTAATAAGAGTTACCTAGAATGGTTTCTGTCGCCCACTCCACCCATGTATAATAGTCTCGGCTTCTCTATGTATATGTTGGGACTACATGTTGTGTCATTATTGGACGCCCCCCTCTCTGTATGTGCTCAGGCGATGGTGGAGACCTGTCGTCAAACTGTATTCAAGTACCACTCATCTGTCCGTGAGTCATGGCCTCTGACTCTCTATTTGGCATTTTTATCTCCCCCTCCCCCTCTCTCTTCTTTCTTTCTCTCTTCTCTTCCTAATCCCTATACCCCCTCCCCCTTTCTCTTCTTTCTTTCTCTCTTCTCTTCCTAATCCCTATACCCCCGTCACCCCTCGTCGCTCGGGTCGTCTCTGCGCGGCCGAAGCAGCGAGTACCCCGTCCCCCCGCTCGTTTCGGGTCGGGTCCTGCGTGCTCGGCCGAAGCAGACTAGACCCCCGCCCCGCTCTCGTTCGTCTGTCTCTCCTGTTGTCACTTCTGTTCCTCGTCCTCTCTTCCTAATCATCTCTACCCACTCCCCTCTCTCTTCTCTCTTTCTCTATTCTCTTCCTAATCATCTATATCCCCTCCCCTCTCTCTTCTCTCTTTCTCTCTTCTCTTCCTAATCATCTATACCCCTCCCCCTTTCTCTTTTCATTACCCCCTCCCCCCTTCATTTCTGTCTCCTCTATTACACTAATTATCCATATATCTCCTTCTCCTCCTTCTATGTATATAGCTAAGTCAGAGAAGAATGACTTTACCGTGCAGGTCAGAATGTACATAGATCCTTAGATTGTACATTACAGTCTGCTGTTTGGTATAAGATTGCTTGCCAGAGTGATAGTTGGTAGCTATGATAGGAATTTAATTTCTATCCCATAGTTAATCACAGGCGCTACTGTGGTTTCGCTACCACGGGTTTCGTTTCTTTACTGCATTTAAAAACCATGTATTCTTGTACAAGAGTTGAAAGTAGTGCCAGAAAACGTAATTAAGTACATACTGCTGAGCTGGCTATATTAGGACTCTAGTGAATCCAGCATATCGGCACTATTATGTGGGTAAACTATGTATGGATGCTACACTGCTACAGCACAGCAATGCTTGTAGCTAAGGAAACTTAATCATGTGACCCTACACATCCAATGAATATAGTTACAGAAATCATGTGACTGGGCTATGAATTCCATCATGTGACCTTAGTTATGTAACTCTGGATATCATGTGACATTTACCTGCTGATGTCATGATGATGTCACTATGATGTAATCCCCCTCTACAGAGGTGTACAATGCAAGCATCCTCAGTGTTTTGATGCAGAGGCATACATAGAGTACAACAAATGTGTCGTAAGGTAAGCTTTGATCAATAACACACCCATCTTCGCATTTGACATAATTAGTTGCGCAACTCATAAGGCACACACATTCAGGAAAGTACTGTGAATAAGGGATACCTTGGGGGAGACCAAAAAGTCAGTTAATTCAGGGATGATGTCCCTTATTTGGAGGTAATATCAAAACAAAGTGTGAGGTGACCCTTTGGAGGGTTAAATCTGGTTTTGTTGTGTACCAATTCTGGCTAAAGTGGTTCAGTTTGCATAATAATTGAGGTGGCCACAAATTATAGTAGCTATGTTACTCACTGCATTACTCCAGAGTGAGTGGACCTGGGCATGCAGTGCAATATTGCTTCACGTATGGTACAATCATGCACAAGAGTATGTGCTCTCTTGTTTGTTTAGCTAATGTGCAAAACCTCATCTGTGGCTATAGCAGGGAATTTTCGAGGGAGAAAGTGTTTTTCATGTTTCAATAGAAAACGCATATTTTGTGGGGACAAATTCCACAGTGGTCTTGCAATACAGATATTGCGGACTACAAAATTTAACGTAAAAAACCTTTGCTAACTGGCTAATAAACCACCAAAAAATTGCCAACTGGTGCCATTTATGTGTATGTGGTATAGCAGTTGCCAAGTGCTTATATACTCATTGCATGCACAGACCAAAGGATAAGAAGTGTGCGGCCTACAAGTCAGTGAAGCAGCAGCTCTTCAAGTGTCCACTCTGCACCAAGTACCTGCCCTTCTCACATCTCCTTGTTGACCAGTGAGTGGTTTTCATCACTGTGGTCCATGGAAGCAAAGATAATCCTTATGGGAATGAACACTTCCTCATTTTTTCTCACAAACCACTTTACTTGTGGTTGTATTAGCTCCACTTGACTCCCACCATAAAAAGTAGCTAGCTCCACCTGCAATCCATTTTGCAAAAGCGTTGGTGAGTCTCTGCATACATTAGCTATAATAATAGGCACTATCACCACACCCCCTTAATGTTCAGTGAAATTTTGCACTTGTGGTTGCTGGCTTATTCTATGCACAGGACTCTACTACAAATCTTGCAAGACACCGACGATGACGAAATAGAATTCGACAAGACTGGGTCGTGGAAACCAGTGGAGAAAAGTAAGAGAGGAACATCCATGGTGTGATAAATAGTGCATTATTGTTACGTTCTCTTTTAGAATCTGCAGATGATGTCATAGACCTAACAATGGAAGACGAAGATAATTGTTCACCATAGGCCATCATCTCTTAATTCCTCCCCAAATACCATCTCACACATATCTATACATGCCAGTTTCGTATTGTTGAGTTGTGTCAAATCACTAGATAGTGAAGAAAACACGTCAATAATCACTGGAAAATGTCACAAAAATCACACAAAAAAACAATGTAGTTTTCAGCTGCTGATGGGAAAAAACAAAGATTAGAACGAAAAAAAGTGATGACGCTAGAATACTGAGTCAAGGATCGATGGGATGCTACTCGATCATGCTCTGCTGATATTGTCTTGTGGGGTATATGGTCAAGTGGCTGACTTATGTTGCTGAAGGATGCAGTTGAACACTGCACATTACTGTTGCCACACCTGCCTGCAGGGAGCGAGATGTTGAGCAGTGTGTAGCTGCTGCTGCTGGTGACACTTTCCAGGAAACTGGGGTGGTGGGGGAAACTGCATCCTGTCGTGCAGCAGCATTTTTGAGAGCAGGGAGCGATCTGGAGGACAGTCGGCAACGCTAGTGCTGTCCATTTTTACATTGCCCATAACTCCCAAGATCTTGAGATGGGAAACAAAGTAGTTTGAGGTTGCTATCATAGATTTCAGAGATGGTTGGAAGGCACTTGTGTTTCTTTTGATTGCCACCCCACATCGACAACCTGCACATAGCAATAAATTGTGCACAAATACTATAATATACAGCACTCAAGGAAATTTTACCACACACACCAAATGAACTGCATGTTTACCGCATGCAGATCTTGGTGCACTTTTTTTGCTTGAAAAGGCTGCTGTCCCACTAAACTGATACACCCCAGGCCATGTTTCTGGCACAGGAACTATGTATGCTTCTGTGGGATGGGCAGCATTGCTATAATATTATACATTATGTCACTTCCATGGTTCTAGTGGCCCGGGTCCCTCACCTGAAACCAACACCACGAGCTCACAGTCAGGTTCCAACGAGCGGTAGTAGCCATCGTCTCCCACGTATGTCCCGTCCCCGCGCACCACCACCGCGAATTTCTTGCACCGCAGAAAGAAAAAGTACTGGAAGAGGATGGCCCGCATATTGTCGTAGCTGTCGGCAACGATGTTCACAAAGTAGTCTCGAGGGATCCACGGTTCACCCTCGAAAAACACTTTGTGCTTCTTGCGCTCCGCCATTCCACTTTCATCAGAAGAAGACGACGGCCGACGACGGGGCCCCAGAAGCCAGCCGCCGCGGATTTTGCAAACACGTGTGCTACGTACAGCGCATGCGCGGCGACGGATTACCAACTATAGGGTCAAAGGACAATTGTTAACTCTTTTGTGGCCCTTAGACTAGGAAGTAGGAAGCTGAATTAGCCATGGAGTTTGATTCTGATGACGAGATGGAACAGTTCCAGGTGAGCCTTCAGCTGTAGAGAGCTGAACAAGGTCTGTCATCTCCGACCTTTACCTGTCACATACATACATAGGTGACACAGGACGACCTAATGCCTCGTAGAAGAAGAAAAATGACGAAAGAAGACGTGATCTATGGGATGTGGGCGGAGCACGATTCAGATGATGACAGAGGAGGGTATGTGGTCTTCAGCTATTTATTCTGCTTTTTTTGCTTTTGTGCAACAAAACAATGTTGCAAATTGAAAAGAAAAAGCTAAAGTGTTTGTAAGATCTCATAACATCTGCGAACTTCAAAAAATTCATGCATGTCCGAGTATCAAGACTATAATACTTACACTTGCTCTACACTTTGCCCTATTTGTTAGCATAATGTTCATACGACTGCAGAAGAGGAGGTAAGGATTACAGCCGTCCCGTGGGGTTTGTGTCTGCTGGGGTCCATGGAGGGTCAAAGGGAGGCGAGGAAGAGGGAGGCTCAGAATCAGAAGAAGAGGTGAGAAGAATATCTCTGATCAAAACGTTTTGAGAGGGAGACATCAATTATTGATACGGGGAATGCACTGCACTGTGCAACCTCTGAAAAAGGACCCACTGAATAAAGGACACCATTCTACTATAAAGGACACTGTGGTTCTGCCCCATACTAATACATAGGGACACCTCTCTATAAAGGACACTTGGTTCTGCCCCATACTAATACATAGGGACACCTCTCTATAAAGGACACTGTGGTTCTGCCCCATACTAATACATAGGGACACCTCTCTATAAAGGACACTTGGTTCTGCCCCATACTAATACATAGGGACACCTCTCTATAAAGGACACTTGGTTCTGCCCCATACTAATACATAGGGACACCTCTCTATAAGGGACACTTGGTTCTGCCCCATACTAATACATAGGGACACCTCTCTATAAAGGACACTTGGTTCTGCCCCATACTAATACATAGGGACACCTCTCTATAAAGGACACTTTGTTCTGCCCCATACTAATACATAAGGACACCATTCTACTATAAAGGACACTTGGTTCTGCCCCATACTAATACATAGGGACACCTCTCTATAAAGGACACTTGGTTCTGCCCCATACTAATACATAGGGACACCTCTCTATAAAGGACACTTGGTTCTGCCCCATACTAATACATAGGGACACCTCTCTATAAACGACACTTGGTTCTGCCCCATACTAATTTTCCGAATAAAGGACACTTTAAGTTGCCCCTTATTCACTGGTCACAGGAGTCGGCGACTGAGCAGTTTCTGAAGGACCTCATGGTCCAGAGGGAGCAGAAGGTGATGGAGAAAGGGGGAGAGAAGGTGGGTGTGGGGAAGTTCCAGCAGGCCGGGCTGGATGAGAACAAGAGCCTGCACATGAAGACACCCACAACCACAGGTCTGCCGTTTCACCTTCCCACAATAGCTTCCGATCCTTACCTGTGTTTTATGGAAAACATACTGTTTGTACATTCGGGCAAAAATCGATAGGTAGTGTGAAGAATGTATGGCAAGTATTGGAGGACACTGTTTGGAAATGTTAGTTTGTGTGGCTTGTGTATGGATTATGGATGGATACTTGGCGACAGTCTTCTTCCACATCTTAATCCTTACTTTTCACTCGGGATACGTTATGCAATTTCATGTCCATTATCCAATTGGCTTCGCTCTTCTAAATCCCTTAAATCTCTATCGTCATTTTCCTTCTTACCGTTTTTCAGTCAAATTTCTGCCATCATGATCCAATATACCTTGAACATACTTCTGTACAGTTTCTATCAGTTCACTTCTTCTCATTCATTTTTCCATCCGTATAAACTTTCTGTTGCACCTCACGTTGTACGTGTCTCCCATCAGCCATATTCTCTTGTACTTCAGCAGCGTCTTCGTCAAATGAAGCTTCCAAGCAACCGCAGAAGCAGAGAAAACAGAGATATGCTCCGCAATCTATGGATCGGTATACTATATACCTACTATATACCTCATACATTGTGACATTCGGTGCATAATGCAGGGAGTTTGGAAGGTGGGAGAAACACAGTAAAGGTTTTGCAACAAAAATGATGCAGAAGGTCTGTTAGCAGTATTTTCATATCTAGCCAGTATGTGGCATTAATCTCTCGTTTGAAGATGGGCTGGAGGCCTGGACAAGGTCTTGGGAGAGAAGGAGAGGTACATATGAAGAAAGAGAGTTCTACTTACGTGTGAGTAATGTTGTCTGTCTTTGCAGGGTATCGTGAATCCAGTGAAGGCAACCAAACACACTGACTTTGGCAAAGGAATTAAAGTGGTATATACACATTATGCAAGCACCGTTATTCTCCTATTATACCAACGTTGAGCATTCTAAAACTCTGGCACACCTGGTTAATCGCGCACGGGGCGAAACATATTAATGTTACTGTGGGTTAGCATTGACAGACTTCTCTTATTGAGGAGAGTGCGATTCAAAAGATGATTCTAAAAGGGGGTGTACAGTGGAACCTCCGATAAGGGACCTCTGATAAGGGACCCTCCGATAAGGAACCTCCAATAAGGGACCCTCCGATAAGGGGCCTCTGATAAGGGACCCTCCAATAAGGGACCCTCCGAGATAGGGACAACCTCTCTACAAAGGACCCTTGTTTCAACCACGTCATGCTAATAGTGTATTATTCAACCTCCGAGATAGGGACAACCTCTCTACAAAGGACACTTGTTTCAACCACGTCATGCTAATAGTGTATTATTCAACCTCCGAGATAGAGATGACCTCTCAACAAGGGACAAACTCATTGGCCCCCATATTGGAGGTTCCACTGTATTGCAAGGGATTTCTGTTACCACTCACAGATTTGCTGGAGTTTGCCTTGTGTTGCTCAGCTAACTACGTATATACCTCAGTAGGAAGAGTGCAGCAGATTGTCATATGTGCAGTCCCACCTAACTATAGGGAAGATCTATTGACAAAATGATGCACTCGCAGTACATTTAAACTGTGATCGACGCAGGTATCTGGGCAGCCTGTTCCGCTGGCTGATGCTGAGGCAGTGGACGAAGAAGAGGAGGAGGAGAGAGAGTTTGAGCAACAGTTGAGTCAGTGGAAGAAGACGGAAGTGAGCGATACAAAGACTCTTTTCTGACATCATCTTACTATGTACTCTGTTCTCCTGCACAGGTTGGTGGGCAGGCCAAACCAAAATACAATGTCAAAACCTTTGAAGAACTGACGGTAAGTGTAGCACACCCAGGTTAGTGTAATACATCCAGGTATAGCCTAGTATAATACACCCAGGTTAGTATAATACACCCAGGTTAGTGTAATACACCCAGGTTAGTATAATACATCCAGGTATAGCCTAGTGTAATACACCCAGGTTAGTATAATACATCCAGGTATAGCCTAGTGTAATACACCCAGGTTAGTATAATACATCCAGGTATAGCCTAGTATAATACACCCAGGTTAGTGTAATACATCCAGGTATAGCCTAGTATAATACACCCAGGTTAGTATAATACATCCAGGTATAGCCTAGTATAATACATCCAGGTTAGTATAATACATCCAGGTATAGCCTAGTATAATACACCCAGGTTAGTATAATACATCCAGGTATAGCCTAGTATAATACACCCAGGTTAGTATAATACACCCAGGTATAGCCTAGTGTAATACACCCAGGTTAGTATAATACATCCAGGTATAGCCTAGTATAATACACCCAGGTTAGTATAATACATCCAGGTATAGCCTAGTATAATACACCCAGGTTAGTATAATACACCCAGGTATAGCCTAGTGTAATACACCCAGGTTAGTATAATACATCCAGGTATAGCCTAGTATAATACACCCAGGTTAGTATAATACATCCAGGTATAGCCGAGTATATACACCCAAGTTAGTATAATACACCAGGTATAGCCTAGTATAATAACCCAGGTTAGTATAGCCCTAGTGTAATACACCCAGGTTAGTATAATACACCCAGGTATAGCCTAGTGTAATACACCCAGGTTAGTATAGCCTAGTATAATACACCCAGGTTAGTATAGCCTAGTATAATACACCCAGGTTAGTATAATACACCCAGGTATAGCCTAGTGTAATACACCCAGGTTAGTATAGCCTAGTATAATACACCCAGGTTAGTATAATACATCCAGGTATAGCCTAGTGTAATACACCCAGGTATAGCCTAGTATAATACACCCAGGTTAGTATAATACATCCAGGTATAGCCTAGTATAATACACCCAGGTATAGCCTAGTATAATACACCCAGGTTAGTATAGCCTAGTATAATACACCCAGGTATAGCCTAGTATAATACACCCAGGTTAGTATAGCCTAGTATAATACACCCAGGTTAGTATAATACATCCAGGTATAGCTTAGTGTAATACACCCAGGTATAGCCTAGTATAATACACCCAGGTTAGTATAGCCTAGTATAATACACCCAGGTATAGCCTAATATAATACACCCAGGTTAGTATAGCCTAGTATAATACACCCAGGTTAGTATAATACATCCAGGTATAGCTTAGTGTAATACACCCAGGTATAGCTTAGTGTAATACACCCAGGTATAGCTTAGTGTAATACACCCAGGTATAGCCTAGTATAACACACCCAGGTTAGTGTAATACACCCAGGTTAGTATAGCCTAGTGTAATACATCCAGGTTAGTATAGCCTAGTATAATACACCCAGGTTAGTATAATACATCCAGGTATAGCTTAGTGTAATACACCCAGGTATAGCCTAGTATAATACATCCAGGTTAGTATAGCCTAGTATAATACACCCAGGTTAGTATAATACATCCAGGTATAGCTTAGTGTAATACATCCAGGTATAGCCTAGTATAATACACCCAGGTTAGTATAGCCTAGTATAATACACCCAGGTTAGTATAGCCTAGTATAATACACCCAGGTTAGTATAATACATCCAGGTATAGCTTAGTGTAATACACCCAGGTATAGCCTAGTATAACACACCCAGGTTAGTATAATACACCCAGGTATAGCCTAGTATAATACACCCAGGTTAGTATAGCCTAGTATAATACACCCAGGTTAGTATAATACATCCAGGTATAGCTTAGTGTAATACACCCAGGTATAGCCTAGTATAATACATCCAGGTATAGCACATGGTAACAACAATGAGATATTACATAGCAAGTCCAAGGCAAAAGCGAACCAGTCAAATACAACAAGAACTAAAGCCTGGTTTGTAATACGGCGCTAGACTTTTGTTTTGTTTCACCAGCTACCATCGTATTGTCAATTTTCAAACAGCGCAGCACGTTGAAGAACGTCAGTGACGAAACGATATTATGACGGAAGACGGAGAAGAAACGAAACGAAAGTCTAGTGTTGTATTGTGAACCAAGCCTAAAAGTGGGTACTCTGTTGTTGCAGAAGTCAAAGCGGTGGATGTCACTGTCTTCAGAGTCACGATCCCATACCGCCATGAAGGTGATTGACAGAACGGGACCCAAACCGAGAGAACTGTCCAGCTACGAGGAGATTTACGATCGTCCTCTCCATCCTGAAGAGAAACTGCCTGGTGAGGTTGAATGTATCTTGTTTTCTCATTGTCAGTGTGATTAGTCAGGGTATACATATAGATTCAAGATTCAGATAAAACTGAAGTAATACTGTGTACCAACCAGTAATAGCTAACACTGATGGCTGCTTTACTGTGTGTGCAGAAACGAGTGCAGTGTACATGCCTGAACTGCTGCACAACATTGAGAGACTGGTTTTAAAGACCGAGGAGGCAATACTCAGGAACGACAGAACGTACGTACGTCAGAGGGAGTAAAATTTCATGAATTTCGTGTAATAGTTTGTGAGCCAAAAAGTTATCCATGAAATGACCAGGGAATTTAGTTAGGTTAAAAACTACCCACAGAGCAACGTTTTCTCTAGAAATTTCAACTAATTGTGTTTTATTTCTCGAGCTTTTTCGCATGCACACCCTGCATGATTTGTGCCCAGGGTCTGTCGCAATGAGTGTCCCACCATGTTCTTAGGCTAGGTTAACAATACATCACTTTGCCCCGGCGTCGCATCGTCCCACGAAGATAAAAAATCCTCACGGCGGTGCACGGTACGGTGGGGTAATGTGATGAACCTGGCATACGTGTCTTTCATCGACCCTGGTTTCCCCAGGCTCCGCTACAACGAAGACCTGCTGGTGAACCTCTCACACGAGAGAGAAGGGCTGGAGGAAGAGGTGGACATCGAGGAGAGACAGATCAAAACTCTCTCTGATATCTTGGAGGCTGTCACTCTGTAGGTCCACACCGAGTGTTGTGTTATACCTGTAACCTAGCTATCATAATATCGCTACCACTGAGCACTATGGATCGCACATGCATACCAGTCCACCCCCTTTGTATAGTTTTGTAAGGAGCAGTTCCTTTATAGCCCTTCTTTCTCTTTCTTTTTCACTCTGTAAGTGTGAGCTTATAATTCTCATAATATTCCAGCAAAAACTGGAAGGGTATGTGACTCACAGGGTGTCAGAGCATTTAGCAACAACTCAACTACATATAAGTCATCTTCCAACCCTCTCTCCTCTGGTGAATGGTACTAGGTGTGAGACTCGACTTTCTGCTGGAAGAGGAGGATTCTCTCTCGGCGAGTGTGAGGAGCTCATGACTCGTCTGAAGGACAAGTACCCCGAAGAGTACAAGGTTCAGTTAGCCCTAATAAATCTAGAGCTTGCATACCCTCTCTTCTGCCCGCACATGCACAGACCCCCACTGCGTGCATCATGAAGGTTAATGTGGCTGACGTAATAGCGGGCGTGGTCAATTCGTGAGAGGGCTGGTCAGGTCCAGGCGCTACGCGCATGCGCAGATCACCCCCGCGCGCCCCTTCATTCGCGCGGCAAAAATACAAAGCATCGCAACGGCAAGGCAGAATTCAGTCCTCTTAGCAACGTTCTGAGCATCACAGCCTTTTTTTGCACCTTCCCTCCCTTCCCCAGCACAGAACTTCACTAGTTCTTTTTCTTTCATCTCTGGCATATCTCTATAGGGATGTGATAAGAGTCAGGCTTTTCTGTGTCCGAGGGTTTCCGCTATGGCGAAATCTTCGGTCCAAGACGGCTCGGCGCATGCGCACTGCTACGGCCGCGGGCGCACAAGCGCATGCGCTAGGTCTCCGCCGACTACCGCATGCGCGCTGCGGCTTGCGTCCGTGTTCCATACCGAACACGGAACCTGACTCGTCCTCCACATGAGTAAGTATATATAGCAATGCTATACCACAAGGTGAGTTTAGTTCTCAGTCAGCTAAGCGTTAATGCACATGCACAGACCTCCACCGCGTGCGTCTGCGCATGCACAGACCCCCACCGCGCGTGTCAGCGCATGCGTGGGCCAGAGAGAGGGTCTGCGGGCTACACTACTCCATTAAGTTCCCTGCCTCTCATACATCTTGCTTGACCAATGCAGGTCTACGAGCTGTCGTCCCTCGCAGTGGCTGTTGCCTTTCCTCAGGTGAATTGTGATACATTTTGCTATTATAGAGGAAGGAAGGAAGGGAGAGCGTAAATTTACTAGTTAAACATTACTTTTTCCTCAAAGACTGCAAGGCTGTGCTAGACACATGCAAACTACAGCCAGAGAGCTAGTCAGTATCTCTTCCCAGAGATCAATGCTGTGCTAGATACATAGAACCATTATAATAGGCACAATTACACATACGTAGGCACATTGGCATATACGTTGGACATTTTGCACATTATCTCTTCCCCAAAGATCAAGGCCGTGTTAGAGACATGGGACTTGGCGGGAGACCCTGAGAAGCCTGTTCCGGTATTTGCCAGATGGCGGCATCTGCTGAGGGAGACTGAGACCTCCTCTACCGCAATACCTTCCTCTGACAGGTAATCATTCACCCATGAAGTGGAAATGAAGTGTGAGAGCTAGAGAGCGTATGTTTACACACTTTTGGCACTGCTACTGAATAACCTATCCAGAATGTTCCTGAAAATTAGGGCAATTTTGCCAAACTGGTTTACAATCCAAACACATGGGGACAACCGTCTTTTGTCAGCATGCCCTACCCAGATTTACAAATTGCTCTACGTCATATTGGGATAGATTGGTTTTCAGCCCTATTGACAAGTCTTCGGTAGTGTTCCACTAGAACACCTAGGAGAGAAAGATAATCTACTCCCAACCACCTCTCAAGCTCCATCCATTAGTATGGCTAGCTACACTTGCTAAAAGTGTGCTCAGCATTGCACTATTCTAGTATGACCTTCCAGAGACTGTTATTTCACCCGCTATAATTATACAGCATGGACCCGTACGACCGCCTGGTGTGGGATGTCTGGATGCCAAAGTTCCGCCATTTCCTCTCCTCCCTCTCTCTCCTGGAGTTCTCCGCCGTCATTGACCTCCTCGAGATGTGGATGCCTCTGCTACCGACCTGGCAGATGGAGAACATTCTAGAGCAGATGGTCCTGCCTCGCCTGCAGCACGGGGTCCAGAACTGGGACCCCACGACCGACACCGTCCCCTTGCACACCTGGGTACACCCTTGGCTACCCCTCATGGGTCAGTAGTCCACCCATCAGCTGGGACGTCCAGCTGTAATTGCATTGAAACTCTTCTCGAAAACCAGACGGGTTTATATGTGTGTGTGTGTGTGTGAGTGGATGCGTCAAGTGGAGAACGGAACTTGCCCATACTGCATCAGTATAGTACATAGACTATGGTAGTCTTAGGTTCAATTTCTACTCAATGCTTTCGTGATGTGTAACTAGCTGGTCTTTTACTCTTGGGGGATGAGCATTTTTGTGATGACTGCAAGATGAGCCTGTGATTCTGTAAGTCACGTACTTTGTTGCAGTCATGGTAAACTGCACGGTAATGAGCCTGCATGTAAATAATGCACACCCATTCAAAGGTCATACACTATGGACTTGCTATATGGCACTCATGGCCTGAGCATACAGATGTAGCTACATGGAGTAAACATGGCAGACACACTCACACTCCCTGCCAAGAATTACCTGCTCATGTGAACCAGGATTCGTGGAGTAAATTTACCACTGTTTGATGGCATGACATGTGAGGAATAGCTGTGAGAACATTGTACTCTGGTCACATCCCTTCCACTGTGTAAACTCCACCAGACCTCAAAGGGTAGACAGCCAGCATGCCACTACAATAATATGTCAGATTGACCTTTCTTACATATTATGTGCTGGGGGGAATTTCGGAACAGATTGTGTACTTACCAAATGGCGGAACATTTTTGCTCAATTGAACACCTTTCATAAAGCGGTACTTCCACGCGTAATTGCCTTCTACATTCTCAGTCTACGTCATATTCTTATGCCACCTCTGTATGATTGGCGTGCAAAGCAAGCCTACCTAGTCATTTGCTTCTATCCAAAGTCGTTGCCACCCAACTTGAATGTGCTATGTGGTTCAAGTGCACACTTGCACGTAACTGCAATTTCGCAATCGTTCCTGTATGTGACTGCAACTCTCGTGTCCGCTTGTCAAAAATGCCAATTCTTCATTCATACATATGTACACAGAGAGAAAGTTGGAGCTGCTCTACCCGACCATCCGTCACAAGCTAGCCATTGCCCTCAACAACTGGCACCCTTCAGACCTGTCTGCCCACAAGATTCTGGAGCCCTGGGTCCAGGTACGTACAACCTCTCCACCCCCCCTCGTTACCCCTTACCCCTCTCATCACGAGCTCCTGTCCGCTTCAGGTGTTTTCTAAGGAGACCATGGAGGCTTTCGTTGTTCGTCACATCCTCCCCAAGTTGGCCTACTGCATCCAGACCATGGCTATAAATCCACACAGCCAGGACATAAGTAAGGCAACGCCCTATTAGCTCCAAATTCAAGTTAAACCACCGAAATCACCGACGTAGGAAACGTACATAATTCAACGTTTGGTCATCCACAGCAGCAAACACATTGATGCATGCATGTGTACTTGGTGGTAAACAAGATCTCGTTTTTTGCATCTTATACACATGCACTTATTGGCAGCAAAGTTCCGACTACTTCGCTCTATGCACATGCACTGATAAATTAATGTGCCCTATGCAGAAAAATAATACATGTGTAGTGCAACACTAATTTGCCAAATTGACTTATTGCGCCCAATAATTACACGTCATTTGGAGGGCATTGTACGAGTCAGCATGATCTCTTACCGTAGGTCCATTTGAATGGGTGATGACATGGAGAGATATGCTGCCCGCTCACCAATACGCCTCCATGCTAGACCAGAACTTATTCCCAAGATGGATGCAGGTCGGACCACACCACGTGTAAACATGAATTGGTGAAAAATTACCGCATATTATTCCAATGCACAGGTCTTATCCTCGTGGCTGAGTAACAGTCCAAACTATAACGAAGTCACCAAGTGGTATGAATAACGTGCTGCTGCTCTTGATGAAGTAGCTGATCGTGTGTGTGTGGTCGTTTCTGTGCAGGTACTCTGGATGGAAAAGCATGCTGGACCCTGGGCTACTGAATGAGCCTTCCATCAAACGTAAGGGGGGCAGCACACTAGTGCAGTTGTAATTAACACAAAGCTCAGCCTTATTTTGGTGTATGTCCATGCGTTCGTATACAGTGGAACCTCCGATAAGGGACCCTCTGGGATAGGGACGACCTCTTACAAAGGACACTTGTTTCAGCCCCAGGCTAATATTTTACTGTATTGTTTGACCTCTGAGATAGGGAAGACCTCTCTACTACAAGGAATAAAACCGTAGGCCTCGTAGTGTCCGTGTTTGGAGGTTCCACTGTATATGTATGTACATGTGTGTGTTTCCCTACGTCTACAGGTCGATTGGGGCAGGCTCTGGACATGATGAATCACGCTGTATCTGGGACGTTTGTCCCGGGAGTTAGAGAAAACATGGCTTACTTCACCAGCAACGAACGGAGATCAACTGCGTATGCCTACCTTCCACTTTTCCTTCTAAACCTCCTTCCACTCTGAGTGCATTACTCTGCCTGTTTTGTGGTCCTGTGCAAACTTTTCAACCATAAGTGTTTTTTACAGAGCACTACTTTCTTGTTAGAGTGAAACCTACATTGTTATTACTCCCTACATGAGTAGTTTGTGCAGAGGAATTAGACCTGGTTGTGTTCTATTTCAGGGTTGGAAGTGAAGCTGTTGGAAGACAGAGGGTGAGGGTTAACATAGAGCACATGAGGCTAGTCTGTGAATCATTAACTTACAACTGCAGGTTTCGGCATTGCAGAATGCCATCAGTGCACCGGTTTCTGTCAGTTTCAAAGACATTATTGAGAAACTGGTAAGAGAAAACTTTTGTGTGGACTTGTTCCTCAGCGTATCATGCGCAGGCAGAGGAGCACGGCATACTGTTCATGCCTGTACCTGGACAGAAGAGGTACGAGGGGAAGGCTCTGTACCACTTTGGTCGGGCTACCGTCTACCTCGACAGAGGAGTTGCATTTGTATCGAGAGGAGACAGATGGGCCCCAACGTCACTGGATGAACTTGTTCAACTTGCTATAATATAGCTGATTATTTTCTTTCCTTCACCAATGCATTATTATTAATAATTGCCATTTTATTGGGTCAAACTTCTGTGCGATTAGCTTAGCTGCTTATGTACTCAATTCAGCATAAAAAAGAAGTCTGACGATACCAAGAGTTGCCAGCACCCAGCGAACTGTGTTACTGTGTAGAGCCAATATCTCAAAACATCATCTGCAGATCTATGGTATAGACTCTCAGTAAATAGCTACCACAGACGTAACAGTCGGACTAAAAGAGGGGTGTTTGTGAATCAACGTAGAGCCAAATGCAGAGGAGGAACTAGCGGAATTCTGTTGGGATGACCTGTGGGAAAGATATCACTCAAGGAATGGGTGAGTCGCACCTTGAGCACCACACCTCTCGGTAAAACCTTTGATCTACCTTTAGTAGTACGTTGAGCGGTGAACCCAGTTGCATGGCCCCAATGAGCCAAGAAAAAGGGACTAGCGCGGGATGAAGGCAGCGGCATTAATTGTGTGTGGGAGGATAAGAATCGCGTGCATCCATAACCAGAATGGAAGTGACGGAAATGGTAGTTTAGTTTCTCAATAGACGAAAGGAGTGACATCATTTGCAGTATAATTATACAAGGTGTTCCTTAATTCTGCAGAGGGTGCTTCTTCTTTTGAGGTTTACTGTATCATAGTATAGCGGTTGTTTTGAAGGTGGATATCAAATTGAGGTACGTATATAATTTTTATAGTGGACAATTATGATGGAGATTGACAAAACTTATTGAGTTAGTTTAGAACAGCTGATCTATCGTTATTGCATCACCTCAGATGTACTTGATTTGCTGTCATCATAATTAGCATTCAGGGTTCACATGATGTGTTCCAAGAATGCTGGGAACGACGGTGAAGAGGTGCAGTGGTACATCAAGTTGACCCTGCTATAATAGGAGTTCTGCCACAGTTCGACCACGGCTGCTGCTACGCCAGTGCACTCTGCAAAAATTTACTTGTGCCAGAATCCAACCGGATTATGACGTAGAAATGAAAGCTAATTTGATTCCTAGAAAACACGTGTTTGAATCTGCACATCTGTTCACATAAACCAGTACCGCGTAGCTACGAGATGCCGCGCCAGCCTAGTGGAATGGCTACAGACATCGTACCGCATTACCTTAAGTTTCAATATTTGATTAAGATTTCGAGCCGCAGGACACAAAAGAAGCGTTCCATATTCCTTTGACTTCCTTTGGTTAAAACGCCTGCCAACTTATCAGAGATCACGTATCTGGAACCATGACCTTTACCTTGCCTCATTATACCATTTCAGAGTTTCTTTTGTCGACAGGCCTGCCAACTTATCACATGTGAAGTAGAGACGATAGCTTTTATACTGGTTGGAACACTTGGAGAGTCAAACGTTTTAGATATAATTATATGGAGCAGGTGTTAGCTCAATTATTGGTTCATTTCATCTGTCGGTCACACGAATATAGGTGTGATCTATCCACACCCACTATTGTCATTGAACCACAAAACCTTTTTGAGGTAGCCAATCTTTCAGTATTGCCCAGATGATGGACATAGCATGCATAATAATGGCCTGCAGTAGTAGGTAACCACTACTTGCATTGATATGGTAAGAGCTATATAGGACACCCATACACTCAGAATATAATATGTGATTTTTCATGGCTTACAAATGCATGAGATTTGCAAATGCCATATTGTACTACATTGCTGGTTGATTTTAGAATAAACAAACAACCATTAACACGAAACAAGTGTTCCACAAGAGGGCCAAGTGCGTTAGCTGCTCAATTTATTCGCAGAAGTGCGCCAACCTAATGAATGTCTCCTCTCAACCACTCCGCGATGGCAGGCATGTGTCGGAGCCAAGGCGTTAGACTTGGTGGCAGAGACTTAGGTGTGTTCAGCCGCTCTTCATCCCTCGTAATTTGATTTTCTGGCAGCAGTCAGACCAGGTGTTAGTAGGTGTCGACACCGCACAGAGTCCAGTCTATACTGAAGCAGTTTGGCTCACTGCCACTGCTGTATCGACTAATGCTTACGATGCTTACTGCTGCATCCACTAATACTTAAAGCATTAGTATTGCTAAGTGACGCTCATAATGATGCCATATTTATGCACAAATTAAATCTGCCTAATGCACTAATTCAAGCATCATCCTCTACCAAAACAAGTGTTCAGCTTTGCTAGAGGCAATAGTCTCATTCATAAACACCAACCGGAGATCAACACACACACTGGAGGAGAAGTTTATAAACTGTCTTGGCACAAATTCTGCCTGATATGACGCGCACACACACGGCAAGTTGCGCTCAGATGCAGGTAGCCCTTGTGTATAGAAAAGTATAATTGCAGAGGAGGAGAAGAAAACAAAGGTCCTACTCTACTTCCTCCACAAGTCCCGATGGCCTCCTGGGAGAGAGTTAGGAGTGCCTTGGGCCATGCAGTTTTAGGCAAGTGATTGCACACAAATAGAATACGTATAGCTGCACAAGGAATCGTGTGCAACTTACAATATACAGCCGTTTCCGACTGGCCAGCTAATTAGGTTACCTCAAGTGCTACACATGGGCTTGGCTGTTAGGCTTTTGTCAAACTGACCGCAGTTATCAGCGAGATATGCTAATCTAATAACGTTTCGATGGGTGGATGTGATCGGCACAATTGTTCCCAGCCAGTCCACTTGAATAAAAGAGAGCCAGCAAGAGCTCAGTTCAACTACCCAGTATGAGAAAACAAGCTAGTATACGTATACTGCAGCAATGCAACCATTTGTGAAGTATAAGATGGACAAACAGCGGTGGGCATTGTTATATCTGCTGCCGATATGGATGGTAAGCCAGAAAGAGAGCTCATATAATGGTGACTAATAGTTTCTCCTAGATGGCTGGAGGTGGCATGGGAGCTGTGCGAAATGTAACTGAAGATCATAGATGGGTTGTAACAGAGTGGTCTCAGGTCAGTATAGGCTAGAGCTGTAGGTCCAAGTGCAGCTACAAGTGATTGTGTCACTTTGCAGTGTTCTGCAAGCTGTGGAGGTGTCAGGGTTCGCTCTGTCTACTGTGTGAACAACTATAGACTTGTTTCTGATGGATGCCAGTCTGAAAAACCGTCTAGTCTTGTCCTCTGCAACCTAGATAAGTGCCAGAAACCAGGTATATAGCTAGCTGCAGATGTAGTGATGATGTGAGTGAGTCTGGGCATGTATCCAGGTTTGCATCTGTGGCTGCGCAGTACGAGAAGAAAAGAGACATCTACCGTCAGCAGCAAAACAACGCAGACAAATGCCATGGCCAGCTCAATTGAACTGCAGTCCGTAAAACAGGCGTCGACAGGACTACTAGACTGGACGGTATCAGAATGGTCTGAGGTAGGCAGCATCGCATCAGCCTCCCCTGTAGATTACTAGTATGCCTCAGAACTGAAATATAGCTCTGCGTGCATGCTCCATACAGTGTTCAGCTACATGTGGTGGAGGGTTCAGAGTCCGCTCAGTTCGCTGTTTGGACGAGTGTGGAATCATATCACCCAAGGATGGGAGGTGCAACACCAGCAAAGTGACCCGCCCACGTACCTATGATTTCTGTGCCCAGATTGACTGCGACACAGGTGAGACTCGCAGTAAACACAGAAATTGCATCATCGCTCTTCTGCAGGTTTAACGGACGACAATATACTGCCTCCAAACGGGACATATTCGTCATCTATTCCGGACGGTTCATTGTCAGTCTTGGACTTTACGTCAACAAGCGTCGAAAGGTACCAAGTGAGTCACAACATCACTGAGACCGATGGGACACAAACAATCCTTTTCGAAACTGCAATCGATGGAGACGGCACCTTCTCTTGCATAACTAGTCCGGTGGACATAGCCATAACTGTTGGACAGCCACAGGGGATGAACGTGTTCTTCTTAAATGGAGAATTCCTCTTTGAGCTTGACTGCGTCGAAACAACTATCGTTCAACTGGGGCAAGCGGTGACTTACGACGGCAACACTGTAACTGTTGGAGGTAACGAGTTTACGAATATTACGACGTTCTGGTATTGCGACGGTTTTCGATGCTACATGTTCAACAGTAGCAAATCGTCATTTGAAATGTCAGGTCCAAGCAGCAAGCTTTTTACGAGTAAGTCCGTAGCACTCTACTCAGTTGCTGGACTTGTTAATTCAGATATCGAGAACTTTCTTTTAAATCCTCCACCGATTATAACTTCGGAACCAGTCACAACTCTCACCCAGTCAACTTTGCTCATGATGACTAGTACAATTGCATTTACGAGCAGTTTATCATCCGTGATACCAGCATTGACAACAAGCCAAGTTCCAGTTGAAACCTCAACAGTTGCATTTACAAGTATGTCTGTACCAATTTCGACCTTTTCGCTGCCTAGTTCACTGCTATCGCCATCATTTACACTGAGCACGACTTTGACAACTTTGTCACTGAGTGAGTCAATAACTCCAATGCCTACTGGTGTACCCATCACGCCTACAAGCGTGAGTATCTCTGCCATCCCAACAGCTACTACTCCAGGCCGGCCGTCTATACCAGCAGTCATGCCATCAGTAACACTGACACCTACTTCAACAGTGGGGCCGGATGTAGTAGATCCCACGAGGGACGAAACACTATGCCCACGAAAAACACCAATAATCAAGCTAAAAACAAGGAAGAGAAAGAAATCAAGACGCTACAGCAAGACCAGGGATACCAAGAAAGATACTCGTGACATGACCAGGACTTTCAAAACCAAGTCCAAGAGGAGAAGTAAATCTCAAGGCTCGAGAAAAACAAAGACTAAGACTAAAAGTTACAAGATGAAGAGCTATACATTTGAAAGAACAGAATGTCCTCCAGATAAAACTACAGATAGCTTTACCAAAGAAAATACTAGAAAACGTACAACAGGAAAATCGAAAACAAGAATTACTTCTTCAAAGCGGACTCGTTCAAAATCCAGGTCTAAGGGTTCTAAAACAGGTGGTAGGACCAGAAGTAAATCTATGGCATCAGCCAGTCCTCCACAAAAACCAAGGGACGTCTTTACAAAGAAAACCGGAAGACATACACCCAGAAAATCGAGAATTACTTCTTCATTAAAGCGAACTCGTTCCGACCCATCAAAAATGACACGGGGTTCAAACACAGGTAGTAGAACTAGAGTTAAATCTATGGAATCAGAAAGCTGGCGCAAAATATCACTTTCAAAAGAAGGAGAGTCAAGGACTTGGAGCAAGATGAAGGCATTAATTGGAGAAATACTTTTCAGTGAACCGAATTGGCAGTTTTGCAGCAATTTAGCTAACTTGGAGGATATTCTATCAACAAACAACAATTACAAGCTTCAGCATCACAAAACACTCAAGAACCTTAAAACAAACGAAGAGAAGTTGTTCAAAGAACTAACTGGTCGGAGGCCACATATGGACTGCAAAATGTTATCAGAAAGAGACCTAAATTCATACCCATTACAGGTACATACATACATACATTGGTTTGATTAACGGCCAACCTACCTCTTTATTATACTGCATGCAGGTGCTGGCTGAATGGCAACATAATGAAGAAAAAGTACACTTACTTTGTATTGTACACCCAGGCAAGAATTTAAATCAGTTTCTTGTAATATAGTACTTATAAAAAATTAACTTGCTGCAGAAATTTTAGAGCAGTTTCTTCAGCAAAAATTGGCTGGATATCACAACGTTTTTGCAGCAGAACTGGTTTATCAGCTGGTGCTAATGACATGCAGAAATGAAGACGGACGAGGATGGAAAGACATGCCACAGGAGACAGTACTATGTTGCATTGAACTCGAGTGTGAAAACTCAGAGAGACACCCTACATAGCATTTCCAGTGTAAAATGTTCGTTGTGCGCACGCTCAGTGTGCGCCTAATGCGCGCATGCGCCTACCCGCGCGCACTATTTCCGCGCCGCCGCCGCCGGAAGCAGCGCGAGCGCGGCGGTCGCTCGCGGTGCTGCGCACACGTACACGCGTACGTACGTACAATTACAATGCACAAGAGAGGCGCGCTTGATTGTGCGCATGCTCAGTGAGACTCTCCCGCGCGCACGGGCAATTCGCAGATGACTATGAGTAAGTGCCAAGTCTTTATTAATAATGAGCAAGTTAAATTGGCGTGGGCTCAAGGGCTTTGCGCCAGGTGATACTCTAACAATAACGCTTTAGTAAAAAAAACAATGGGACCGTTGCGCGCTGAAGGGCAATTCTGTGGACCAGTCTCTTCAGTCGCCTGGCCGGAGCCATTGTTGCTCTGTCCGTCTTCGCTTGCTAAAGCAGAAAGACAAGATGAAGAACGCTTGCCTGCTTGTCGCTGCAGTTCTGGTAGGTAACATGCAAGATTATGTGTCATATTAGGTTGATGCTTGCCAATATTATTATCAATTTGGCATGGCTATTTGACACGCAATATTGCCCGGCTGCGATAAGCACACTATACCTAACGACTATTAGCTATACAAGTGTTACGGAGTTCAATATATATATATTCAGGTGGCAGGATTAGCTACTGCTATTTCAAGCCCAGAAGACAGCGAAAATGCCAAGGTCAGCTGAACACTATTTCTAACCCAGACACAAAGCTAGCAGGCACACAAAAATCTTTACACGAGGAACAGTATTCTGTAATGGTGGCAGGAATTACAAACCGCTGCTTACAGAGCCAGTGTTGCCCGTTTCTAGATCTGCTTGGGACATTATTTTTTAGCAAATGCATGTAAGCTTACCTTACTAAAGGGATAATACAAGTAGCTAGATCATTTTTGGTCTAGCTATGTCAGATTTAACCCATCTTGGCTAAAGGGGTGCCACCATGTTCTGATGGATATTGCAGGCCATGGGCATATATATGATATGCCCAGAGCCTCCATAAGTCCATAAGAATTTATATATGACTACATAATACATATAGTTTAACAGTAGGTTAAACGTAGTTAACGAAGGAGCCAGCCCCTCGCAGTGCACCGACATTATACCAAGCGCATGCGCTGGCATGCGCATGCCCAGACGAGCACCACGTGCAAAGGTGTCAGTTTCAAGGAGAATCTCAGACAGACGGTCGCGTTCTGGTCGTAGCGTCAGATTTCCCATCCCACCAACCCCGCCAGTGCACCTGGGGAGGGACTGGGATTCCATTACATTCTCCATCATGCATGATGTGATGTCATGACCCAAATGGGCATGCTACCGGCGTGGGGTGGACTCGCCCCTAACGACAGGGGCTCGCAATCATACTTCCCCAAAAGAAGCATGCCGCGGGGGGTGTCCTGCCAAGATAACGAACCCGGTAATTAGCAAGAGGATGCTCACGGGGTCACGTGACCAAGTTATGGCCTACCACGTGACCTACGGCATCTGCATGCACGGGTCAACCATGTGTCATCACGTGACCCGCCGTGACGGGGTCCGCACATGACAACCACATGATGGAATCGGACACCCCCGCAGGGTCTGGCGCCTCCAAAGTATAGAATGGGTAACTATAGTTAATAGGCGTTAATGTTATACATCAATTTCTGCTTATTGAACGAGATACCCATGGCGTCCAAAGTTAATTAAGTGGGACCTATGTAGCCATGCCACAGAAAGACCCGACGTCTCAAAAAACCTTTGCTCCATATTATTATTGCCCATTTTTCTGAATATTATTCTAACACTGATTTGCCATCATTAACTATATCTCTGCCTTTAGTATGTCCGCAAGTATAAAAATTTCTTAACCCAAAAGCGACATCATTTCAATCTTGAAGTTGATGAAACACTGCATTCGCCAGAGTTTGCCTGGACTTTTAACAAATAAGATGCAGCTTCTCATGCTATCCTTACACAAATGGTCTACTGATCGGGTAAAAGCATGGCATGGCAAGAGATTAACTCGTTTCAGTGATCTATAGTGTGATCCTTTTGCCACTATATAGGAAAAACGACAATCCTTTGATCTTGGCACTCGACTCGGCCCAAACAATGAAGTAATTCTCGTATGCGAAGGCCAAGATGTTGTATTTTTGACCGGAAATAACGCCCAAAGTTTCGATGTTGCTGCCGGAGAGACTGTAGTGAGCGAGACGAACAGTTTATTGGTGCGCATCCTCATGGGTGAAATGGTGGTCCGGGAGATTCCTGATATCTACATGTACACTGCTAAACAGTGCGACCCTCCATCACAGAATGATGTACTAGGTCCAGGAACACTCTACACAAGTGATCGTAAAGCATTCTACATCAACGATGCCTGTACATTTGAAATGAATTTAATTAATCAGGCCACTGCCTCTCCCCCCATTCCCCGCGTAGCTTTCGAAGTCGAGTCTGCTATTGACGCTGGAAACGCAGTAAGCAATTTGAATGTGAACAGTGGAGAATTTGAGATGACGCTAACGGGTGCAACTTCTATAGCGGTGGGGCCTGCACAGACAGTATCGTATGCTAGCGACACTCTCTCAACACCGGAAGGGACATTTAGCGGTATCAACGAATTTGCCATAGCCGCAAGAGGAGCAGACGGTAACGCTCAGTTCAGTACGTTTTCAAACTCACCACCAATCAATGTTCAAGGTCCTGGTCAGGTATATGTAGGCGATAACAGCGCCATCTTTATCGGAGATTTCGGTTCGGGCACCACGCCCCCGGCTGAATTCATAAACGAAGAGATTGCAACGATGAGTTTCATGTTCAGTTCGGTAAGTGGAACTAGTATGACAGTGGTCACCGACAATCAGAACAACCCCGTCACCATCATATCAGAGAACTCAATGTCCTTTGAATTACCTTTTGCTTCGACGTCCACCTACAGCGGAACAGAGTTGTCCATTGCTAGTTCCGGCGGTCGCATCGTTAATTTCAACGACATCTCTCGGTTCACCGTTTACGACAACAACGAAGTAACAGCGAATCCCCCAACCTTTAGCTACAGTACTGGTGGAACTGTGATCGTCGACTCGACCGAAAACACTGCCGTGTTCCTTTCAGACTCTAATCCAGCAGCAGCAGAAGCCTTTCAGTCGTTCATTCCGGGAATGCAAACCGTGTCATACGTAGTAGAAACCGACGATGAAAATGTGCGCAACCTGATGAGAATAAGCGGATCCCCACCGGACACGGAGGAAGATGCGATTCAAACTATAACAGGGTCGAATGTCATGAATGTTGGATCGACCGAAACTGTTACATATAGTGACAGTGAAATACAAATCCAAAACTTTGATGGTAGCCCGCGAGTGCGCATAGGACAGGTTGATGAGTTGTTTACAA